TGAAGGTCACTGGTGTCCTTGCTGGCTGCCCTGCAGATGGCTTGAGCAGCACGAGTACGTGGAGAAGCTCAACATGCATGCCGTCCTGAGCGCCTACACGGGCCAGGAGCAGCTCCTCATCGAGCTGCTGGTTGCCTACGCCAAGGTGAGCCTCCTTGAGTGTGGTAGCGATCACCGTGCCAGACCTTCAGCCTCCAGCTGGGGTTGGTCTTGCAGACAATATGCAATTTCGGAACAAAATGGCCAAGAACCCATTGTATCTTCAGTAAAGATGATTGGTGGTTTGCTAGGTTTGCTTTTTTTAAAAATTAAAGGTCAAGCTATGTATTTCTACTTGCTGGTCTCTGACTTCTCTCTTGGAGGTTGTTTTGGTCTCTTTCATGCCTCAGTCTCTCCCGTTGCCGATCTCTGTGCTGTACCTGGGGTGTCCCAACCCCAGAATAGGCCAGACTGCACTGGGATGTGTGGTGCTCTGGGCCTCTCTGGCTCCTCAGGGTCATCTTCTCCCTTCACAACCCTCTCCCTGCTCTCTGGTCTGATGATGAAAAGCTGTTGATTTCTGAGCTGGGTGAATACAAGGACAGCATGCCCCAAGGCCGCCCTCCTCTGTGGGGTGACTCTGAATGTTGTATGTCTGAGCATTAGCAATAAAACAGGTCCCCCTGCAGCACCATTCTGAAAAGCTTCACTTCCTCCATCCATTCCCTGTCTAGATTCCCATTCTTATTGGGGAGCTGATCTCTGTGGAGATCTGGAAGCATAAGATCTTTCCTGTGCTATGCCGACTGAATGACTTCAAGCCAACAAGCACCATCCCCATCTACCTGGTGGTGAGTAGAGGGGGCAGTGGAAATGAGGCTGGAAATTTGGATGGGTACCCACTGTGTTTAAAACTAAATCTCACCCTGAAGATCTCGGAACTGAGGTTTTTGCATCTCACCAGGCTAAGAAGATGTGGTGGACAGTGTTATGCAGTGGGAAGGACCTGATTTCCCAAAGCTGCAAATGACAAGTTCATGTCCTTGCACCTGGGAGAGACAGAGACGTGCTCCTGGGGGAGCTCAGCTCTGTGGAGGGCTGTTCCCCTGCCTAATCCCGCACAGGAGCTTGTGGGGGCCGTGCAATGCAGCCACCTCAGTTCCTGGAGGTGACTGTCCTGGTTTGCAGCTCCCTGTGACTTGATGCTACCCTCACTGCCAGACAGCAATGCTCTTGGGGTATTCCTTCCCCCCTGCACCGTTTTCCTTTGGCACCTCTAACCAGAGGGCCCTCAGAGGTTGTGTGCCTCTGGGATAAAAAAAATTGTAGCTTTTTCTCACCAAGCTCCCAGGATCAGGAGCCCCTTAGGCCATTCTTGGTAAGGGAGTCATCTCAGGAGCTCAGTTTTCCTGTGGAGGGAAGCAGTGCTTGACCTAAGGGAAATCTGCCTGAGGTCTGGGAGTTTTAGCCCATTTTCAGTCCAGGGTAACACCATGCTGGGTCAGGGTCCTGTCTTCTCTGGACAGCTGTTCATCTGCAGCATTGCTTTGAGGCAGTTATGTCATGGTTCATGGTCTTGGGACAAGGCTGTCTCTCCTGGTCCCTGAGGGCTGAGAGCAACGCAGCCACACAGAGCATAGTCCTACCTCAGGCAGTGGCTTCATGCTGGTGCTAGGGGCTGCAGCTTGCCCGAGGGCTACGGCTGTACTGCCACTGTAGCGCAGAGACAGAGCCCCGAAGAGCCCTGCCTGCTGGGAAGCGTGGTTCTCTATCAGCGTGTTATAGTGTCATAGGCATGTTAACATAAATATTAATATGAACTGTATGGACTGCAGTTGTTTTAAAGATTGCATCACTTTGGCTCTTGGCCTTGAGTTTGGCACAACTACATAACCAGTTTCTTAGAAGAGCCCTTTTCCCAGTTCTGTCACCTGTGTCCTATGTGTTGGTGACTGCTCTGCTGTGACCTCGCTCTTGCCATTTTCCTCCCGCAGCTGCGTCGTGAAGCCTCCATCATTAACCTCTTGGAGACAGTGTTTTTTCACAAGGTAAGAGGCAGGTTCAGCTTTCTTCATGTAAAGGCCTTAGAGGTGAAAAGCCACAGCTGTGGAGGCTGGCCCTCTGTGAAACTCTTGTCGTTGTGAAGGAAACCTGCGAGTCAGCGGAGTGCAGCATTCTGGATTTAATTGATTATTGCCACCGAAAACTGATCCTGCTCACAGCTCGGAGCGCCAATGGCCAGACAGTGATCCCAGTGGAACTTCGTCCTGAGCTTCTGACCAACCTCTCGTCAATGCAGGTGAGGAGAAAGTCCTGTAGCTCACTGGGGACACATGATGGAGGATGGGGGCAGCCTGAAGAGGCACAGGGGGACACTCTCATGGAGAACCCCTTGGCTGCAACTCCAGCACCTCCTGCATATCTCAGAGGGTGGCTGATGCTGGTGTTCAGCTGAGTTGGCAGCTGCAGCCACCCTCCTCCACCCCACAGCTGCACTTCCACTCTCTCTCGTGACATTGCCAGCTTGAGGCTTCCTGCAGGACATGCTCTAAGCTCTGAGGGGGACACACTGCAGAGTTGACAGACAAAATATTCTGTGTGGATATGTGTCCCTGGAGTTTGTGAAACCACCTTAGCTCAGGCTGCCGCTGGAGTCAGCCAAGGTTAACTGTGAGAGGGATCCTTCCCTACATCAATGTACAATATGACTAGGAATTGTCTTAATGTGTTTCCCCGCAGCTTCCTCTGCTCTTTACTGGTCTGGGCCAGCAATGAGCCCACAGCTGTTCCCAGGCTGCGGGAGCTTTCCCTGCTTCTCATGCTTCTCAGCAGCTTGAGTTTTCTCCCTAAACTGCACATCATGAGGAATGTCTTTAGAAGTGCGGTTTAAGTGATAGCCTGCAAGCTTGGCCATACCCCCCCACATTGCCTCCATCCTCTGGCTTGTTGCCTGAGCACATGCTCCTCTTCCAGAAAAGGGAAGGAAGTGGAGGGCTCTGGAGCACAATGGGGATGTTTTCCAGGAAATGTTTTCCCAGCTGGGGAGGGGAAAGGGGTGTCTCTGTTAGTGCTTTGACATGGTTCAAGTGAAAAATGATCAACTTTTTCTAGCCAATAGCATTCTAAAAAGTGCTCATCTCCCAAGGAGCCTGGTTTCCTCTGATTCATTCCAGCCTCTGCCTGCACACAGTAACCCCCCCGTGAAAAACCTATTCCTGCCTTCTCCTATGTTGTGGAGCCTTTTGTCCTTTGTGACCATGTATGGTAGTAACCCCTGGAGCAGGACTTGTTCTGCTGTCCCCTAGAAGCACAGGCAAAAGATAGTCCCTGCCTGAAGGTAGCAGAGATGAGGTCTGGATACCAGGAGGAGCTACAGGAGACAACCTCATGGGGAGAGTTTGGAGAGGGAGGTGGGGGGGAAGAGCCCATAAGACTTTCTCAGTAGCGTGTGGGGCACCAGCATGGGGAGTGCAGGGCTTCTTACCACAGGAATTTGGAAGGAAACTGTTGCAATAGCGCTTTAGAGAAACAGAAGTTGGTGAGGTCAGTGCTCTGCACATGAAGATATGAGCTACCAAGCGTCTGAGACTGGAGAAGAGAAACTCTGCCTGGACTAGGGAGGACTTGTCACCTCTCAGCCCAGCCATCCCAATGGCTGTGAAAGAGGCTGAGTCAGAGAGTGATGGGCTGTTAGCCTCAGAAATGTGGGGGATGAATGAGGTGTCCACACTGCCTGGGAAGGGGAGGAGGCTGGGTGGCTAGAGAGCATGGCACAGCTGCAGGCAGGGATAACCACAGGCAGACACTCTAGCTGGCTCTCCACAAGCCAGAGGGGAGAGGCAGATCCAGGAGGCGTGGATGTAAGACCGCAGCTGCGCCAGGGCCAGGTTTCTCCCTCTTCCTCCTGCCCTGGTTCCTCTGCTGATCATGCAGCATTCCCTCCTTCAACCTCACAACTCTCTGCAGGGCCACAGGCCATAAGATGATCCCAGAAGGGGAAGAGAGGAGTGGTCTGTGACTGGCCTCCTTCAGTGGTTGCCCCTGTGCAGAGGCACAGCTGCCAATAGCCATCCGTGATCTCTTAGGAGTAGGGAGATGAAGGACGAGCAACAGTGGGCTGCAAGCACTTCTGCTGCTATCCTGGCAAAAACACAGTGCTGGCACAGTCGAGATGAGAAGCAGAGTTTGTTTTGCAGGGCTCTGGTTTCCTCCCCAGTCTGTGGTTACCAATGCACGGCCAACAGCCTGCCTCCCTGTAGCTCCTGGGAAATGGGGCCTGAAATTCGAAGACTGTGCTTGTACCTCTGCAGGACCTGGAGAAGTTAGCAGAGACAATGGAGTTTGAGATTTCTCTGAAAGCCCTGTCCGTGCTGCGGTTCATCACTGATCAGGTGGAGAGGTAGGTGCTCACAGCAGCAGAGGACACTCACTGAGACCTCCGGTTGAGATTCCCATGGGATCACAGTGGGTGCCTGGACCCCCTTCAGCAACTGGCTGTATCTGGGGTGGCAGTGGCACTGTGCCCCACGAGGCAAATACAGCAGCGCTCCACCCTACTCCCTGGTACTCGCAGGAACCCAGATCATTGTTTTTTTCCTAAGTCTTCCAGTTGCCTCAGGAAATGCTTGTATTCATTCTGGCATTTGTCTGCCAGCTCCATTTCACCCTTTCTGTCGTATTTCCAGTCTGCCCCTGAGCGCGCTGACACAGATGCTGAACACCCACAACCTACCTTGCCTCCTTGTCGAGCTGGTGGAGCATTGCCCCTGGAGCTGCTGGGAAGCAGGTACGGATCCTGCCCTGTGGTACCTGGGAGGACAAGGTGGTGGCATGCTGGGACCTGCATCCACTGATGGGTCTTCTCTAGGAGCCCTTGCAGAAAGCTGCTCCCCCTCTACCCTCTGGCCTCCTCCCCTTGCTGCCTCTCCAGAGCTCCCTGCCTGGAGCTGTTCAGCTCAAAAGCAGCTGCAGCACAGCTGGGCTGGGGGCCCAGCACTGCTCCTAAAAGCTGATCCTCACACAGGGTTGTGTCTCTTCCAAGCTGACTATGGTGAAGATGGGAACATAGCATGTCTGCCTGCCCCACCTTCTCCGAGGAGTCTTGTCCTGGGCACAGAAAGACCAGAGTTCCATTCTCAGCCTGTCTGCACCTTTCTGGCATAGTGCTAGGAATTAGAGACAGACATGGGCTCTCCCAGGCAGCAGACCGATGCCCCTGAAGCTATTGGTTGTTAAGCTTCACTCTTGCTAAAGGCCTCTGATCAGGTTGTGCCCATCAGCCCTGGCTCCCCTACCTCAGCAGCCAGACATGCCCCCCTAGAGCCCCCCAGCTTCCCCACTGCCTGCCTCTGAGCAGTGGTAGGGCACAGCCTGGGGCGTGGGAACACACATTCCCCTTCCCAGCCCTGCACCAAAGAGGTCACAGCACAGGCAGGGGCGGAAGAGATGCTGGGAAGCACGTGGCTCTGCGCCTGCCAAGAGGAGCCTATCCGGATGTGGAAGCTTTTCTCCTTCCTCCAGCCAGGAAACGTGTCCCTTGTCTCTGCCTGTGCACTTGGGGTGTCAGAGGGAGCTTTGATCCAGGGCCCTGAGGGAGGGACTGGAAAGAAGCAAGAGTGCAAAGGCATTTCCAGGCTGTGCAGATGCAGGGTTACATCCTCCAGCACAGCACAGTAGCTCCTGGAGCTTGTTTTATCGCCTCTGTTGTATTCATCCGACTTCTGGCCTTCACTGGCAGAAGAAACTCCAGAAGAGCAGGTATTGACCATGCTGGTCCCCCAAAACATGCCTCTCCAGCCACTGTGTTGTTGCAGCATGAGCTCTTCCACCATCTACCAGTGGTCTACACTCCTGGCCAAGTACAGAGGGAGATATCTTGGGAATCTTTCAGTTCCTGCCATAGCCCTATTGGTTTAAAACCTGTTCTTTATGCTTTTCATGCTTTCATATATTGTCTCAGTACCAAGCAGGCCACAGTGCTGAGCAAAAAGGAGTAGGGAAACCGAGGCAGGCAGAAGCACTGAAGTGAGGCACACAGTGTAGGCCAGCGTCCCCACGTGAGCTGCTTTCCTGCAGGCAGCACTGTCTATCCCTGCAGTTGTGTGTTCTTCTGTCCCTCAGGCAAGGTCAAGAAGTTTGAGAATGGCTCGTGGCATGTGGTGCCCCCTGAAGACCAGGTGAAGATGACCAAACTTGATGGGCAGGTGTGGCTTGCCCTCCTCAACCTCCTGCTCAGCCCCGAATGCCAGCGCAAATACCACTTTGATGGCTTCAACAAGAGCCAGCTCCTCAAGGTAGGACCTTACACCACAAAGGCTGTGGGCCCCACAACACAGAGTAGGACTTTGCCAGCACCAGGCACCTTTGAGCATCCTTCCCCATCCTCACCGTGGGTTGAGCTGGTGATGACAGTGGGGTCTGTCACCGTGCCAGCAGCAGCAAAGCTTGCATTTGTGAGTGCACCTCATGGACTGCCATGGGTCTCTCTCTGCCAGTGCCCCACAGACCCCTGCTCTTGCCATGCTGCTTCCCCAGCTCAGGCTCTCTTATCTTCACGTCTTGCCGTTTGCTCTTCTCTTT